ATAGTGATAGGGAACAAAAACTCCACATCGTTACTGCCGTCAGTCATTCTAAAAATAATGTTGTCGCTGTAGGTGTCGCTGCCATCGTGCTGGTACAAAACAATGCCGGCATCTAGATCGGCAGGTGTAAAGAATTTCCTGCGAGCTCCAAGCACAGTCAGGTCTCCATGCTTTAAGCCATCAACAACAGTTATTCTCACATCCTCCAGGTTGTCCTCATCGCTAATCTCTAAATTCTGGGAGCTTGAGAGAGCTCTGGACTGCCCTTCAAACAGTAGCTGTCCCGTATTTTTAGTTGCCACAGGAGCCAAGGTATTCATCGGCTTCACGACAATCATAAAAGCAAATGTGTCAGACACAGCACCGTCAGTGTCCACAATCTCAAACTCTAGCTGGAAAATCCTCTCTACTTCTGAGTCTTCTGAGGGGGGCTTATATGCTATTTTAAGATCTTTGATGTCTCTCTGATAGAAAGAGGTGATAGGCAGGTTCTGGTCATCCGTGCTGATGATATAGCCCTGCTCTGGGCTCGGTGTGGTAGTAATGTTAAAGATTAAATCATCCGTGTCAGATTCGACATCTTCAGCAGCCAGCATGTCATTTGTAATAGCCGTCATTACAAACTGATCGACTTCCATCATCATCATGGCTACAAAGCTGGGTTTAGGAGCTGTGTTCTCTGCACCCTCTCTGATTCTAACCATCATCTGGAAGTACTCCTGCATTATGGTATTGCCTTCGTTATCCTGTATCTCTACCACCATTGGAATATAGTCTCTGTTGGGTGAGTTGGTTTTAGCTGTGTGCTTGTAGCGGATCCCCTGGTTCACAAACTCATCGCAGTCAACCATTTGGCCATTTGAGGGGTTATTCAAGAGGGTGCCGTACCTGGGAAGACCTCCAGCGCCGACCAGAGTGGCAATTTTACACTGTGTGACACCGTCCTCGAAGGAAAACTCCAAACCCTTTTTGTTAATAGGGTTGCTGTCACCGCTGAGCTTTTCCACATTGAGGGGCATGTTCCTGATGAGGATCTCAAGCTGCTGGAAAACAACTTCCACTTCCAGCATGAAAGGAACGACAACCGTGTCCGTCTGGGAGTCATAACGAAGCTGCAGCTTCACACGATCCTTGCTGGGGCTGCGAGATCCAAAATGAGTGTATTTTACTTCGTCTGGTCCAAACGAACAGGGGAACTTTTTAGGGGTCAGCATCCCAGGTTTCTGGGCCAGCGGGTCGTTGTCCAAAACTGTGATGTGGCACCGGTCCCCAGGCTGCACTTCTGTTACCAGGTCATTCAGAGGGTCCAGAAACACAGACTTTCCTAAAGGCACCCGGATCCCATTGTTGGCGATAATGATGTTGTCTTCATTAGGTCCAGATCTTTGCCGATAAAGATGAGCTGGGTCAAACGGCTCTGCGTCTACTGAAGCGAAACAGAAGCTGAGAGAAAATGTCACAAGGAGGCATCTTAAAACTCCCCACTTTTGACCAAGCGGGGGCCTCTGCAGACAAGCAGCCATATCCACTGCTAGTTGCCTTGTAATTTAATTTACAAGTCAACAGTAGCAGGTTGTCCAAAGTGGTGAAAAAGCATTAAAAAAAAAAAGTCTGTCCTCTGTGTCTCCCTCTGTTGCTACGAGGCCACACAGACACACGAGTGTGGTGAAAGCTGCAAGGCTTTGCAGGTAATAATGAAACAGTAGACAGTGACAGACGCAGGCCCCTCCCATCCGTCAGGGCAGGGGGAGAGCCTCCTGCCCCCATGGCTAATTTAGGAAAGACCATTGGACAAGCTGCAAAAGTGCTCCCCCCCAAACCAACACCCACCGTCTCCCCTTCTCTCTCCGAAAAAGGTGGGGAAGAAAATCCAGTGCAAAACCTAACCTAATTCAATCTGCCATCAAATTCATTGTCACTTAATTTTAACAAGTTTTAAGAAAATAAATAGCAATAGCCTGCCATTGATTCCAGTTGAGTATTTCTGCAAGTGGTTTTAAAGTTGCTTTGTCTGCTGTGGACACATATCATGCCGAGCTGAAATCTGGTATCCCAACACTATTTTTGTGAACAGGGGAAACATTCAGCAGAGCACAACTAAACCTCTCTCCACTTGGTAAATTCTGGTTTTAATTATAGTTAAATTGTTTGAATTTAAATAATGCAATATATCTGGTATTTCAATTGTAAAAAAAAAAAGTTTACGAAAAGTACACGTTTATTATCAACAGCACCATAACCAGAGAATGCACAGGATCTGTGTCCCTCCAAGGGTTTTTGTGTCCTTCTCACAAGTGCATCTGAGGTCGAGTTGGTGGGACAGCTCGGCACCGGACTGGCCGTTAGTCCCACACAGAAGGCTGGACAGGTGTTTGGTCTCACACACACACACACACACACACACACACACACACACAAGGAAAGGACAACGTAGTTGAAAATACCGCCCAGGCACTTGAAGAATAAGTTCTGTAGCAACAATTCCACATCGTCACTGGGCCAAAGGCCGTCCATTGACTTAAGACCTAAACCCTGCAGTGTCCAATCTTGGGTATCTCAGAATTGAGAGGGAATAAGATTTTACTGCAGTGACACTGACACAGCGCAGTATGGAGAAATCAAGCACTGGATGCAGGGAGAATGTGAGAATGTGTACTGAGTGCGGTGCACAAGGTCATGTTAAGATAAAAATACCTAGTAGCCTTTTATGGATCATCTTTTGAGTTGTGCCGAACACAGACCGCGTGCACGGCTTGAACGTTTCTTCCAAACACAATGGTTTACATTCTTTTTTAACTTTTACAGTCACTTGATCACATGATGTATTACTGCATAGCTGGATCATTCTCATATACAGTTACCTTTTCTAATATCTTTCTAAAAACTATATAACTATTAAAGTGCTTATGATCAATAATCTGTAAACACAAGAATGCAAGAAAGAAAGTATTTTGTCTGAAAATATTTGGAACACCGTAATCACATAATTATCTAAGTCTGGTTTGATATCTACTATAAAAATTTCAATCATTACTTAGTGAAGGTTCTTCTTTTTATTTGAGTGTATAATGCTTTTAGGAAAATACTACGAACACTCTGAAGCGTGGCCAAATAGCAAAGATGCCATTTGTATACAGACATTGTGTATCACACTTTTCATTGCATCCCCTAAATATATCTTGCCCTCCTCACTTGACCTGCCAAGAATAAAAACAGAGACACACACACCACAGTATGTACTGTAACTATATAAATAAACATACTTTTTATACTTTTTATACTGTTATTCCTGGTTTCACCCACATTCTTCTGATATAGAAGGAGTGTTTTCCCAAAAAAATTATACCCTTTGTACTAAAAGAATCAGACATGGATCATCTTTAAAAAAGCGTATGCAAATATTGATTCCCGAATGTGTAAGAAATGAATTCTCCCCAGCTGTGGGTGGTCGTTGATATGGAAAAGGAAACAGCTACTAAATGCATATTTTCTCGGGCTGCAGCATGGCATTCATTAAGCCATTAGTTTGACTTTGTCCAGTTTATATGTCAAAGAGGCAACATCCCTCTAATGAGCGTCTAAACAGAAAGGGAAGTTGGGTCGATTCCAAGCCGCGCTGCCCGTGGATCAACTCTTCATCCAGGGGCAGCCAATGATGACAGCAGGCGGTAACAACCTCATGATAGATGGAAAACAAAGCCCGAGTGGATCCCCGTAACCCTGAAAGCCACACAGGGAGAGGACAGGCTTTGCTCTTTTTCCTCTTCTTGCAGTTTTTACGTCTGTCAAGATAAAGCCACATTCAGATCAGGAATCAGGAATCAGGAAACATTTATTGCCAAAATATGTCAAACAGACAAGGAATTTGTCTTGGTATGTCCTGGTATTCAATAATTAATTGAATACCAGAAATAAATAAAATATGAAATTATCTATATGACTTTAAACAATTTAGTCAGGAAATATAGTCATTACAATATTCATCAACTTAGCACACTGACAAAAGCTTTAGAGGATGTTTTTTGGTTACCCCGGTAACAGTTTCAATCATCATTCATCACTTTCTGGGTCTTGTCCATAACTCTTCTCACTCAAGAGCATCGCAAGCAGTCATACAGCTGATGAAGGGCTCAGTCCAGCTGTGCAGGGCACTCAATATGTGTCACTGAGTTTGTGGTTGCCCCTGGAGACAGTACAGAGTGTGCAGGTAAACCTCTGCAGCGTCACAGCTACGCTACCGGACACATTCATAGGAGAGACATTGATGAACATGTGTGAGCTCATAGAACTGCTACACTGCTACATGCATTGACAACACCTTTTAAGACACCAACAAATATACCGGATATTTGCTCAGCCTCAGTCACTATTGTGACGTATAGAATTACCACCAAGCCTTGCCTTCCTGCGTCAAACATTATGATGGTGCAGTTAACTATCAGATCAACTGCAGAATGTGGGAAGTAGCTCAAAAAAAGTAGCTCTGACCAATTCTTTGAAAACAAGAAGTGACGTCAGCAAGATCCTTCATCTCTGATAAACTCCCTGACTCCTCCGAATAGCCGAAGAAGATAAAAGTTCCCCCCGCATTCTCTTCATTACTCGCGAGCGTCCTGATCATCCGGCCCGTTGTAAATATACACAGCTTATAAATAGAGGATACTGAGACCTGAGACATTTGGATCCAGTTCCGAGGAGGAACAGGTTTGTGTTCTGCTGCACTGGATGATTTGGTGCAGGGTGTCCATGACTGCGGTCAGGTTTGAGCGGTAAGCATACGACATTTAGACCTGCTTTTGCCGTCACTGCTGCACCGCAGGCTCAGTGCAACATTTCACCCGCCTACTGGTGGATTAAAGCATCACTTGTCTGTAAAGGAGAGCGGAAGCCTGTGGAAATAGGCTGGATATAGAAGCTGGATCAGACCCAAACACTGGGCAACACATTACTGTAAATGGAAATTATAAAAATATTATTTGGCTCAGGAAATTAAACAAGAGTCTAGATCCATATTTAATTGGACACACACCAAATAATTGTGCTGTATTGTAAGATCATTTTTCTGAAACACAGTAAATAAAGCAAAAAATAAAATGCATAAAACAAAACAAAAATAAGATTCAACCTCCATCTGTTGAAGGTTTATTTAGCAATAATGACTGTACACGTCTACTACCAGATACAATTTTTATATCTAAAAGAACAGCTGGTGAAAGTGAGCAGAAAAAACTGTATGGTGATTATTTTTAGAGGCCAAAGATGTGCGAGTATACAGTTTATTGATGTTAATCAGAAATGTGAATAACAATTGTGGATTGAAGGTTACATGATGAATATAATGTTGATCAAGTTATTTTATTTTATAAGCAAAATGATTTCTGGTAAAAAGAAACATTGACCCATCTTTAGTTTGTTCATTTTGTTTTACAGTTAACAACCTGCTGGTTTGTGTCACTTTTTTCATTACGTAATGTGGTCGGTTAAGATTAGCCAAGATGGCGCCTATGAACTGTAAAGGAAATTCATTGCAAAAAACATTCAAGACAAATTACAATACTTTTCATCATTCATTGCAATTTTTAGCATAAACCTTCACACTACTGAATGGGAAACACATGAAAAAATCAAAATGCATGAGTTACAAAATACCATTACATCATAAATTTAAGAAAGAACACTGATTTAAATCTGACAATCTTATAACGTCTTGCTTATTTATACATCATTATTTACAAATGTGTTTATCGTTATGTGATGAAAGAATATCAGTTAGGTTTGATTAATGTAAAGTATATTAATACAAATGTATTTTACTCTATTAATATATTTCCACAAAAAGAGTAAATTATGGCTGCTTAAAACTACATCTCAGTGTGTTAGAAACCACGTATAATATGTTTATATAAGTTTATAAAAGCTGAATGGCTTGGGAGATGAAATTCAACGTGTATTACTGTTCTGCAGTACCAAACGTAATCACATTTAGTATATAGACCAACTAAATAGTCACCGTTAAATCACTAAAATGCTTAAAACTCAGAGTTCAGCTAACGTTTAACTGGGAAAAAGCTGCTCTGCTGCAGTAAATTTGTTTCTAACAAGGAGAAAACAGCCCGCTAAATATCTCACACGGTACGAGCAGACGTGCCCTTCTCCGTCGTGGTCACTCCTTCAATCTGAAAGAAAGAAAAAAGAGCACAGAATGATGAAAACAATCTGTCTGCTGTCCCACAGTCACACGTCCTGCATCACCTGCTTTTTCCACTTGTAACTTCTGCTTTGACCATGTTTATGTGGCCTTTGCTTCGACCTTTGACCTCTACGGAGAGACATCTGTTAGAGGTAAAGGCTCTCTGACATAATCATTCTGCCCATCCATTGATGTGATTTATGCTTCTTTTAAGTCCCTGAGTGTGATGTGACAGGCTTGAGGTTTATCCAAATATTGGTTTGAATAAATACATAATTGGCCATTTATATAACGTTTTACACTCTACATCATTCAATGAAAACATCAGGCGCAAGGACAAACTGGTCGGTTGCACTTATTGCTTATTTCAAAGTGGCCGAGTTAATCTGAACTGCTTTCAATGAAAAAGCGGTTTGATTTTAGATCAGGAGTGAGACTGCTGAGGCTCAGGTTGCAGGTAAGACTTCACGCAGATATCAGCCATGCTGAGTTGAGCCACAGGGATAGATAGAGATCTGAGGAGACCAGTTAGCGGCTACAGTGAAACCTCGCTGCTGAAAGATTGGGAATTCCAATGGGGATTTACTTGTGTGAAAGAAAATGCTCAACCGAATCCCATGCAAGGACTTTCATCCTCTCAGTCGACCACAAGTAGAAAGCTTCCGAATTCCATTCAGGTAGAACAATTAGAGTTTGTGAACAAGTCAATTATTTGGGTTTTGTCTTCTTCTTGATGTGGTGTGTGAAACCAACAGGACTAACAACTTTGATGCAAAAAAGGGTTGAAAATAAACATTTTAATTACACTTAAAGTTCTGCAAATTAAACCACGTTTTGTATCACTTAACTGAGATTGAACATTTCAAACCAGCGATAAAATGCATTAATTTCTCTAAGGTTGAGTTTCCAGAACCGGACAAATTTAGACAAATAGACAAATTCCTAACAGCCTGTTAGTCGCTCGCCAACAATTTACAAACCGACCCCGTCCCAACATCACAAAGTCATGAGCTGAATGCGATGAATCTTGCTGTATCACTTTCCATATCCAATATTATACTGCACTGTACTGAAATATAGTCATATTGTTGAGTAGCTTTACTCATCAGGCTCAACATGCAAATGCACGTTCTAACGTTGAAGAAAGGAGGCTCCGGTTGTAACCTTTTTAAGTCAACTTTCATTCAGCATCATCTGAGATTCCACCTGAGTTCACTTCGAACCGCGTGTGACGGACGAGGGACAGAGTTGTAATAAAGCCCCGGTGTGACTCTGGCAGTTTGACGCTGCCCCGAGGAATGTGGAGTCGATGCCGCTGGCGATACCGGCAGGTGAATGAATGTCCGTCTGTCAGCAGGCCCACTGATCACAGCGGTCCGGCCAACTGCCCAAAGCCAAGAATGTCTAAGGCAGCCTGGAGAGGACGACCGGGGGGGACGACTTGGGGGGGGGAACTGTCCCGACGACTATAGACCCATATAGCATTATATCATATATATATAGGTCATTGTAAGAGTCAGCTGCGTTGGACTCTGGTAGCGTGAACATTAAACCGGATTGCATCTTCACACTGTGTTTCATGACTCAGACGTCCCTGTGAACAGAAGTGTTGAAAATTGTTTTTTTACTATGTAACTCTCCGCCCCCCCCCCCCCCTCTCCTGGAATCGCCTGATTACAGAGGACCTGCAGCGTGCTGTAAAGAAGCATCCCAAAGTATGGACTGACAGAACAAAGGAAGAATCATACAATTGATAATGGTGACACTATTTGTAAAATGTCTACAGTGTAGCCAGGGAAGGTCGAGGGTCGGTGTAATTTGACATCTCTTAAAATAAAGCAGAGAAAGTAGGAGTACGTTCTTAAGTGACCGCTCCTTTTAACTTGCTTCCTGCAACAGGATTGAAATAAACTTGGATTCAAAATGGCATGCTTGACCCTAAAATATAAACGTAGCGGGTGAATAATGGAGAAGCAATTATCTTCTCCAAGGCGACAATTGATGCCGACCTGTGTGCAATTTTTCACGCTTTCCGTCCACATTTCTCACACGTATATATTTTTTGGGTTTTCTGCAGCGGCATTTGATGAAATGCAGAGACTCGCTTGGAGACAGGCAAAGAATGTGAACCGGTTGACTCTGACATTGAGGCCACATTATTCTCTTGCAGTCACTATGCACCCTTTAATTAGGATTGTCTGACCTATGACCTTTGGAAAGGACTCCAACTATGAAACCCATGCAGTTTGAGGAAGCCAAGCAGAAAGATGACCTACACCCAAATTTGGTTTGGAGAGAAGTGGATGAGACAGGAAGCTAAACCCAGACCCCACGGTGCTCATGCCTAATGGCATCACGCTAAAAGGTTATTCATTGTTATTTTTCCCTCTTTTCATGGATTCAACTACAAATACAACTGGGTTTCTTTTAAGGGCCCTGAAATGTAAGAGAAAGTAAAAAAAGAAAGGCAGTACATAACTTTGGTATAGATCACCTAACGCTCAGCAATACAAGTGTGTTTATGTATTCCTTCAATGCGAATCTTTCAACAGGAACCAGACCAGCTAGCGTCATATTTGTTGTTACTCCTGATATCGGGTCTCATTTACATTTACACAAGAATATTGCTTAAGAAAACTCAAGAATCCCTTTCTCCTAATCCTGAATGACACAAACGTATTGTTTATTAATTTTAATCCAGCCCCAAGATTATACTGTCATCCCTAATACAACATGAAGTGCTTTAAAAGAGCCCTCTCTTTGCTTTAAACTGCAATTACATGGATGCACTTTACCTTGTAGGTAAGAAAAAAACATAGAATTTCAAACTAAACATGGAAAAAGGTTTTTTTTTTTTAATTCACCAACTTCCCTCCATCCTTACCGGGGTCCCCTGTACACTCATTTAGGCTCATGTGGTAACATGAACATCATCAACCTCTCATGACACACACAAACTGCGTGTGCGGTTCATGCCTGACACAGTCCTATAATGAGGAGTCTAATAGCCATCTTCACGACTTTGCAACCACGAGTTTTCAACTTATCGCTTAAAATTAGATTCTTTGTGGTAGGAAGCCCCGAGAGGAAGGGGAAGAACCTGCCTCCGCCAGCTGTTTTCTTCGCTCTGTGTTTTCCAGCAGTCCCTCCTCCCTGAAAAGCTGCCAAGGTGTCATGGCCGACGAGGCGGTTTTAACCACATCAAACCGCAGGCGCAGGAAGCTTTCCCTCACTGTTATTACTGAGATCCTGCATTTAACACACGTACCATTGTCGTCTCGCACATAATATATTTGTGTTCACACCTGTTATATCGGCCATGACTTAATATATCTAGAACATAAATCTGAAAGGGCAAAATAAGTCGATTCATCCATAAACTCGTAAACAACGTACAGCATAAAGACTAATTAATGATCATAAGCCAAATCCAAATAACACAAGCTGCTTCGAGCGTACAACTAACCGTGCACGGCTCACAGGGTGAAATCTCGCTGCTCTCTTTCACTTGCCTCCTGCTCGCTGTGAAATAATCATCACAGACAGTTTCCCTCCAACACAAACCATCAAACATGAAAGCAGAGCTCTGACTGGAAAATGACACAGTGGAGTCCCGGGTCTAATTACGCTGGTTGAGTTTACGACCTGTCAGCTCATCTCCATTATCGACAACTGCAGAACGGTGCGCGGCCTTTTAACTTCAGTCTACCGGCTTGCTCATCACTTCCCAGACCAGGTGGGAAGGAGTGACGGGTTCACTTTTTCCTTTTCTCTTCTCCGTCTCAAATCATCTTCGCATTGCATGCAATCTTCTTAGTATTTAGTTTTCAAAAGAGGAAGAACCTCTTCACACAGAAACTTCGGCTTTTCTTTCTATCATGACATCATGAGACGGAAATAAATCATTCGTTCCTCGGCATAAAAGAGCAACTCTGTTCACCAATATTGATTGAACTTTGCTTGGTCGATGATATATTCATAATAAAGGCAGCGTTTCCCACACAGCGAAGCTTTTCTAAATAAAACTGAACACAAGAAAGGGTTGAGATCCTTTTGGGATGTTGCATTATCACTAGCTAATAGTCAATTGATCTATTTCTAATAGATAACGTAGAGTTTATCACATGTTGTAGCAAGTAAAGGGCATTTGAAACGGACAACATTATGTTCCCGCATCAAGAGTCCCACGAAGCCACAGTGCACAACACCAGGTTCTCCCCCCCATCGCTACTGTTCATCAGATGCGTCTGCGCTTTCCCCGCTATCACATGTCGAATCGGGTGTACTTTGGATGAAGATCACATCACAGATATCGCGATAGTCAAGTCAAATCTCTCCTAAGACAAAGAGATGCTTGTGATTTCTCTGTAGCCGGTGTTTTTTGCGGGAGCACGAGGTGAGCCGTGATGTGATGTGAGCTTATCATCAGCTGTTAAGAGCGGCGTGAATTCCTCGAGGCCTCAGGCTTCGGCCCCCAGCGTTTGGTAGCGGATGGGGAGTTGGGAGGCAGCGCAGGTGCAGCTGCAGGGCCTCACATCATGCAGCACACGATGATTAGCCCAAGAGGGTCCGTGTTAGCACCGGAGCGAGAGGAATTTCATCCGTCAGTGGCAGACGGAGCATGGAGGAAGCAGAAGGAGGAAGGAATGATGCTGAGGGTGCTTTTCATAAACATCGATTAAGAGAAGAAACACCTGCTGCTGTCATGGTTATTCAGTTTATGGATGGAGCGTCAGCGTATATATTTATAAACTATTGGATGTCGGACTGTCAATGTGATTTACCATCTTGGGACAGGCGCTCATTTTAGTTTAGAGTTAATGGTTCCCTATTTTTAGTATTTTAATTCAGCGCGAGAAGCTTTAGCAGAGCACTCGCAGTGGTCACTCATGATATCTGCCGAGCTGTCTTGCTGTTTTCTTTTTTTTCTCGACACTATCCCCTGTGAAGCAGCTGCAGCAGAACATCTGTCCACTTACCAAGTTCCTGAAGAACAGCACAGATAGGTGAAATGTCTCACAGCGGACTATTGAGAGGAACGTCCCAGAAGTTGATGCTGATCACATCTGTTGAAAAGAAGCGAGGGCTTAATAATTGCTGGTTTAGAGAGAAATGATAACGTTAAACTGCTTTGATGGGACCTGAGTACTTGTAAATTAGACCGAAGAGTGAATTAATCATTGGGTACCACTAAGAAGTGATAATTTTACAGCAAGGAGTTACTACTAACCAAAAATAGTGGTGTATATCTCAGCAATAATCCAGTAAAGAGTCTTTTAATGTGCACAGGTAATTTCCCGTCAACAAGGTATACACAATAGACCCAGGAAATTAATATTGTGAATGCAGTGCAGTGACTGTAAGTTCTTGTTTTTGTCTTTAGCGGTAAATGTGTTGAAATGAGGCATGTTGCAGTAAGTCGGAGCCGAGATAAGAACAAAGGAGCTGCCACAAACATCACTAGAGTCCTTTTTCCATCCTAAGGGGAAGAACACATCAGTGGGAATGTAAAATAATGTGGACGAGGACTTTAAATATCAACCTCCAGTCGCATTGAAGTCGGCATTATTGCTGTTGTTCTCGTTGGTCTCTTTCAGCGACTCCACAGAGGTCTTGTTGGAGACGTCGCCTTCTTCGTCGGTTTTCTCGTCCACACTTGGCTCCACGGGCGCGGGGGGACTCTGCTCAACGGCGGCCGCTTTGGGTTCGTCCGCGGGGCTCTCTGGGGTCGCCGCCGGGGCAGCAGACTCAGCCCCGGGACCAACGTGAGATTCCTCAGCCTCACCTGTGAAGGACAACAAAAGCCAACAATTGTCATTTCTACACATTTTTCCTTCTTTGAATCCAGTGTGTTGACACAAAAGAACAACGTGTGAGTGAATTAAAACAACACAAAGTGAATTTAACTAAAAACACCCAACATCTGTGGAAGGTGCCTTCAATAGGAAGTAAGACTGTTGCCTTAACATTCATTGGGTAACATTGTTGGGACATCATTTTAACCTCTATTAGATGGCACGTTTGCTACTCATTGTTCTGTACTTAGCTTCCTCATAATAACAGTATTTCCACCCATGTAGCCTGAAGCGGTCTCACCCTCTCTGACAGTCATGGGGGTCGGGGGACTTATCTCAGGCAAAGGTATTTCAAGGGAGGGGGGGGGCACCATGCTATTAATGAGGCGCCTGATTAGTGAGCAGCTCCTAATGAGCCACGGCCATGCAGCTGTTGGAGCCCTGTGGGAAAGTAGGGCGGCCCCGTCATTATCTGACCCCGGGTTAGATGGAGGGAAAGCAGAGCTGAAGGGGGAGAGGAAGGTCGACCGATGTTCTTGACATGATTCCTCCACCAGCACCACGGCTTCTCAAGCGACCGTCAACCGAACCATCATTACCGTCCTGGTTCTGCTGGATGACCGTGGATCTGATTGACAGCTGCAGCTGTATGTCGTACTATAAGACAAGGTCATGGGATTTGTAGTTTTTAATTTTTTGCGCAATGTTGAAATGTACAGCTCTGTACCACTTACGTGTCCACATGTCACACGCTGAGATAGAGATTTGTGGCAGTTACCTACGTTTAAAGACAGGAAGCAGGGGGAAACTACTGGCCCCGCCCCTTCCCCAAAAAGCACTTACCACAGCCTCTGACGATCGTTATTAACACTTTAAAAACAGCTGGGTGCAGTAACCATATACAGCTTTTCAAGAAAGTTAAACCATTGCACTCAAAAATAATCAGGTGGATTGCCTCGTACGTATTTATATTCAAATTTGTTTGTATAGTTAAGAAAAGAAGGGGGAAAAAAAACGTATTTGCACTGAATCCACAGAGGATGACGAATAGGACTGCTGGTGAAAAACGTTTTAGCTGCTCCAGTCAATCCTAAAAAAAGACGTCCAACCATTGATGTATGTTTTGCCTGTTTGACACTTACATCCTTTGGTGTTAAATATCACCAACCAGTGACGTGGTTCTGATCTTCCCAGATTAAAAATGGCGGATTTCTTCACTGTTCAGTTCAATAATTAATCCAAACACTTGAGATTGAACAAGTTCACAGAACAAGGAGTTTTCATGCACTGGACAAGCAGTCATCAGCCAAACGAGGCGGCAGAAATGTGGCGGCCCACCTGCAGGGATTGCCGATAGGAAGACAACCGTCTGAAAGGGAGTTGTGTTGATTTTCAAAGCGGCCGTCAGCACTGCCCATTTCAACAGAGCGGCCCAGGGCCCGGAGGCAAGCCCAGGCATGTAACGTGTGCATTTCACCTTTTCTCATTCAGCCTGGGAAGAGCTCTGAGTAAAACACTTCATTCAGATGAGGATGTCAAAATAATAAGGTGAGCACAAGCACCTTTGCTTTCATCGATATCACACTACAGTATATGGCACCAAATATCTCGATTTGGTGTTTAGTATGACATAAATAAAAAAGAAATGTATCTTGAATTTGCAAATATTTACTCAACATCTACATTTAAAACTTTCTGACTTTGGTGTGGGGTTTTTTCCTGAGCGTTTGAATTCTGCTGCAAAAGAAACCATGTTGTTTGGCGTTTAAGGCAAACAGTGAGTACTTGTATCGCGCTCTTCTGGTCTTCCGCCCAATCAAAGCGCCTTAACACCTCATGTCATGTGAATCACCCATTCACACACTGATGACAGGAGCTACCATTACACAGTGGTTTCCCACCCAACACTAACTGCCATCCACGCACTGCAGTCACAGCTGCAGGAGCCGTGTTGGGGGTCAAGGTCACGTGGACACGCGGGTTTTGGACAGAGCCGAGATCGAACGTTCCCGACGCTCTGATCGGAGGAGGACTGTTACTTGTTAACTTGGCTTCTATTTCCACCACATGTTGGACATGAGTACTGCAGGACACATTTTTCTCTCTTCTGTCTCTTTTAAAAAATAAGGTTGAGTGTCAGTTGTGCAGAGAATCTTTTCAACTCAAGAAGATTTCCTTCATGTAGAATTGACATCAAGTGAACTTATCATAAATTGATAAAAATGTAACATTATTTTATTTCCTATTCGTATTAGACTGACTGATCAATGTCTGCAGTGGAGCGCAGCGTGTTCTGTGTTCCAGTCAAATGCTCTGTATGCGTGCCGTTTATTCGCACGCTCTCACTGCACTTCCTTTTATTCTGGTTTAACTGATCTTGTGAAAGAGGAAGGAAGATGAGGAAGAGGACACAATTAGCCCACAAGACGCGCACAAATTCACAACTTGATTCGCTAAACCAAGATCTCTGAGCTCAGCCAGATGTTTGTTCTCACCTTTCTGCTCCTCCTTTGCTTCAGGCTTGGCCTCTGGTTCTCGCATCTCTGTCTTAGCTTCTTCCCTTTCAAAGGTTTGCAGTCCTGAAAAACATAACGTCACACGGATTAACTTCTACACCATTTCTGCAAAAAAACGAAATAGTACAATTGGTTTAAAGTTTGAAAGGCAACTCTTTTCTTTCTTTTTTTAAAGACTCGGACATATTCTCTTCCGCGTCGCTGCTGATGTGGCGAATAGACAATACTGATGGTGTGTTGGACTGACCGTTCTGAGGCGCGGCATCGACCTGTAACTCGGGCTCCATGGTGCTGAGAGGGATGTTGGCTTCATCCGGTCTGGAGGTGAAGTCCACAGAGTACCGCTGAGAAAATGAGGGGATTTAGAGACACACAGAATTAGTGACCAAAAAAAGGAGGGAATGGTTTGAAATTTGTGGAAATGAGAGGATCCCTTTCATGTCTGCGGGCGGTTAACATGAGTGGTTTCCGCCTCTTTTTCTCTCTTCTATCCAATCCAAACTTAGCTGGGACAAGAAATTGAAATAATTGTTGCCTTATGGATTAAACGAACCAGAATGTTTTATAATTTGTAGGTTTTAGGTTAGCGTTTTCCCCTGTGCTAAGCTATGCTAACCAGCTATTAGCAGTTTTGTATTAATAAAACTAAAGGAAGTCAGGTATCAATTGCATTCTCTAAATAAAAGAAACAAACTCAAAGTCACATTTCAAAAAAACATTATTAAAAAGATGACTTTACAGGAAAACGGCTATCCTTACTTACCCTTCTTCTATTCCGCTGTAAGTAGCAGCAAACTCCAAATCCAAGGATTACGACGCCGATCACAACTAGGATGATAATGCCTGAAGGAGGTAATGCATTTATTTAAGTCTCCTGTTTATGGCAACGCTTGAAATACGTTATGGTGGTTTCACATCACTTGATGTCTTTGGTGCTGGAGAGTAACTCGCTCACCGGTGGTGTCCACTGACGCCGTCTCAGCTGGCTTAGCAGTGGTGGCTGTTAAACGGCAGAAAACGTGTGAGAATTACATTTCAAAAGAGAAAAACAAATGAAACAATTCCTCTGAACGTGAAGTCTGAGTCTGTGAGTATGAACCAGCTGATGATTAGTCAAACGTCACCTTCTATTCAGAATACGGTCAGCACGGATATCTGCATCCAGACGTGAGGATCAACGCTGAGCTGGTTTAACGTCATTCAACATTTTAACATTTAACAAGCCAAAATATCATTTTATTCGTTTCACTTACACCAGGAATATATTACAGTTCTGTTTGAAGTTCTACTGTTATTGAACAGTGAGGATATGGATAAGGATAAGCACTGAGTTGTTGAACACACTTTATTTAATCAGCAGTCTCCACTCACTTGTCTCCTTTTTGTGTACTTTGGTGGTAGTTGTTGTCATTTTGTCCGTGGTTCTAGGTGCGCTTGTTGTTTTGACACTTCCCCCACTTGAACTGGAGAATCCTGTAACAAGCAACCGACGATTGGGACAAGAGCAGTCATTAAACAAAGAAGACCAAGCATTATATCTTGGGTAATCCAACATGTTGGGGTACTTTGCATGCTCGAGGCAACGTGAATAAGCTCTCACCGGTCTGCGTTGCTGTCGAGGGCGAGATGGCGCTGCTGCTCGGTGTGTAGCTTGAGGCATCGGTGGCATTGGTGGTGGTTCCGGTGGTGGTGATGGCGTTGAGGGATGTTTGAGTGGCGGTAGTGGAGCCATTTACATTTGAAGTTTCGGAGTTTGAAGTTTCGGAGTTTGAAATTTTGGAGTTTGAATTTGTGGGGTTTGAAGTGGTATTTGATTTTTCACCTGAGACACAAGCCACAACCAAACCTGGGGGAAAAGAAACAGCCAGATCAAAATTAACATTCAGTTCGGATCCAAGATCACTTAAAACTTCCTCTTGGCCTGTTTGTCTTGTGTTTTTTTTTTTGTAAAATTGATCACATTTGATTACAGAAAAATAAACTTTGCTGCAGTAACTATAGTTACTCTGTAAACTGTAAGCTATGTACGTTCTGTATATTAAGGTGTACCTTTCTTGTGAGGTTTTGCTCACAAACCCTGGTTTCAAGCTTTTACATTTTACATACATTTTAGCTCCATTGCATTTCTATCATAGCTACGAAATACTGAGCAGCTTCTCAGAAAAAGGGTCCCGTGCACAACAAAGCGTAACAGCGTAGTTAACAGTTAATAACACTTTAATAGAGCTAAACATTTAAAAGATAAATGGATAAAATGTAACGTCTTACCCAGGATAAAGAGGGAAAGACGGATGGAGGGCATTGTGAGTTCGGTTGGTGGTGGCGGCAGGTGGGGATGTTCTAGATACACAACATGTGTGTATTAAAAAACGCTGTGAAAGGTATTGCTTTCATGCGCGGCTCCTGTTGCTCAATGCTTCAGAGCCTTGCCTGCTTATAAAGAACCCCAAAAAGAGGATCAACGCCTCTAACCACAGCAGGATGCATCAAAGAATGGTGTTGCTCAAACGGTGTGACGGAGGAAACTGACTGTTGGTGCTTCACTTCAGAGTCAACAATTCGAGGACTCAATTCAGCCAGTTTTTTCTGTAAATATAAAGAAACTTCATCAAACGAACAACATGGCAGGCTAATTCAATATTCACCATTTAGTGTTTTCCGGATTCATTTGTCCGTTTTAAGTAATTTCACTAAGTAAGAAAGGCAATAAAGTATAATATATTAGAGTGCTTTATAAGGCAGGAGAGAACCCAATATCACCCTGGAGCCAAACAATTACAGATTTCAAAGTTCAACATAAAACATTTACACAAACTGCAGTCTAAAGTTTGCAGAAAGGCGCAGCGAGCAGAGCGCCACAATTTAAGAGCTACTGCCTCAACAGCTCCATCACCACGGGTACTGAGCAATACATTGTAAAGTTGTAAGGAAATCTTGTGTCATTTCTTGAGAAATGTGTTGCATAAACAGGTTACTTGGTACAATTTTTCCACTGTAATCAGTACATTTTCGGCTCACTAGATGTCGCTGTGACAAAAGGGAAAAACGCCAGATGGGTTTAGACAGTTTTGCGCTTTTGTCTGAGCTAAATCCATTTCCCTCTCCCGTGGACTAGAGAATAAATTAGTTGCACAAGGTACACAAAACATATTTGAGTTGTACTGCAGTTTAAAAAATTAATATCAATAACGCGTTTTGGATAATTGTTTTGGAGGCTGAGGAATATATGATGACAGTTAAAAGGCAATTTAAGATGCAAAAATATGTTTATTAATTGAACTACAAAAACGAAAATGATTAAACGGCAACTAATTAGATGACCAATTGGTACCTTTATTAAATGATCAGGTAACCACTAGTTGCAGCTTCTCAAACATTTGGTCTGATTTTCTTTATTCTTTAAATAAAAAGCTCTGGCTTTTGGACTGTTGGTCGAAAACACCCAAAACACATGAAAACAGCTCTTTAGGCTCTGTAGGGAATCCTCCCCAGTCTTTGCCACACAGTTTCCGACACGTTTTACAGCTGTAATTGTGCATTTTCAATGTCTGTCAATGTTTGCGTCAGCATTACTCGTCTTGTGTGGAAGGAGTTTGCGTTGGACGTACGTGTGCTCCGCCTCGTAGGTTTATGTATTGCTGTTTATTTCCCTGATGCCAGCGGTAATCAGCAGCAGGATTAGTGTTAACCGCTCACTGGCAGTGTCCACGTGGGCCGCGGCGGGCCCCTCCCCGCCAAGCGTCCGGTGTCCCGGTCCGTCCCGGGACGACAATCCGGGACTCTGCTAATCCCGAGGAGAGGCCGCTCCTCTGGCTTCCCTCGCTGGACCTACAATCGCACAGGACCAGGCATCGGCCCGTTGGATGAGCTAATCGCCGAGAGCAGAGTGTGTTTCTATGTGTTTGTGTGTGTGTATGTGTGTGTGTGTGTGTGTGAGGGAGACACAGAGAGGGGAGAGAGCTGGACCACCCACCCGGAGGATTCAGAGCCGTAGGATTCACAGCCCATTCTGTTGACCTGCCACACCGCCCCAGCTCCGGGCAAGGCCCTCCCCAATTGTTCCCCCTGCTAACATGAGGAGGGGGGGGGTAGTGATGGGGGGCTACACAAGGGGGATGGGGGGTGGACGAGCAGTAAACAGCGGGTTGAGCTTCTCCCCTTCACAGCACAAAGGGGCTGAATTGTGTCGGGGCTGGAGCACTTTTTAGAGTGGCCCTGCCATGGGGCCTGAATGAAACATCTGTGGAGGCTGAGCCGAGGGAGAAAATGCTATTTTGCTGTTCAACCACACTGACAACCTGTTTTCTCTTTCTTTATCCCCCCCTGCCACTCCCCCCCCGCCCCCCCTCCCATACACACACACACACACACACACACACTCCCATTCCACATGTCCACCATCACCAACTGTTATTTCTCTCTTGGCCTTGTAAAACTATTGAAACTGTAAACTCGCATTAGCTGATAGAGAGAGAGGGGATTTTATTAAGATAACAAAATACAATGTCAACCTTGTGATGTTGCCACATTTACAGGTTCAAGCTATTAACTTGCGGAGAACAATGTCACTGTATACAAAAAAGCACTGACCATTTATAGCAAACGGTTAGTCAAATGTGGCGGGAGGCGTTTCCTGAAATGCTGTCGGCAGTTTGTGGCCTTAAGAAGCCGATAGCGTTGTGAGTTCAGTGGTCTGCCTTAAGGTACCATCCCATAATGCTCTAAAGTGTGCGAGCCACAGACTGGCGTATGGAGGCTATCATTGGGCGTCGAGTCCCCTCCATCCGTCCACATCACCTCCCCTATTCCGTAAGGAACCCCCACACTGTCGACCCTCTTCCCCAAAGTCCTGCTCCGCCACACGCAGCTCAAAGAGCGAGACCACTGAGACATTTCAGTTTAATTGAAGGGGAAACAAAGATCCCTGCTTACTTCCTGGTCACCCATTTTCTTTAATCAATTTCCTCCCTTTGGTCCTGTGTCATCTGTAATTACTTTCCCTTTCCAGCCCCTTGTGGGTTCCTCCTGAAGCAAAGGTCCACACACACACACACACACACACACACACACACACACACACACACACACACACACACACACACACACACACACACACACACACACTTATTGCTAACCCCCCTACCGTAAGCAGGCAATACCTTTGGCATCAATACTCGTTGCCCCCCTTTGGCTCCTCCAGCCTGAACAATAGAGAGGGCCCACTGGCTCCAGAACCCCACCAAGCAACCCCTGACCCTGCCCACCTACTCCACTAAACCCCTACACACTCACACACTCACACACACACACGTTCATGCGGTGTGTACTCTTATATTCAAGCCGTAGACATTGTCGTACACAGCTCACGCGGGTCTGCAGTGAATGGGTGGGGGGGGGGGGGGTTGGAGGAGGAGAAGGGGAGGGGGGGCCGAAGGGGGGGGGCTCTTTAAATACCAGCTCAGCTTGTAATCACTGAAGTTTGAACTCGGAGGACTTCTTACGCTCAGAGGTCAAGAAGCCAGAACACTCATTCGCCGCTTTCTTTCCTCCCCGCTGCCCTCTGTCACTCACTCTCCGCCCTCAGCGGGTCTCTCTGATCCATAAGCCGGTGGGTGTTGTGTACAGTGAAAACCACACCGCCATCCTGAGGGCATCTCCCAGCGCCTCGTCTCCTTCCAGGCACCAAAGTCATCGTTTGCCAACGGATCCCGAAGGGAATTCATTACATTTGACCAACCTGCCAAAGGGAATATGCAGACAATGCCTATAAATGTAATTATTGTAGCGCTGCTTACCTCAGGACGTTTTGTGTACATCTGGTAGAGGCTTATGCACCTTTATTGGACTTCGCATTTCCAAAATATGGCCACCCAGTGAACACAGCCGATACCACCCACACACTATTGAGTGGATTTATAACTCAGCTGATGCAAGTGTGCTTGATGAATGAAAGCGGCTTACAGTATTGGCATCCTTACCTTGTTTGATGGGGAAGCAAAAACTCCTGTATAAATAGGTATTAGCCATGGGAATAGGAGAAGGAAAGGTGCGGCATGAAGGCTACAATCCTTATGTAAATGCCAAAAAAAAGTGCTGGTGCAATAATAGCAAGAAACAAAACGAGGGGGAAATGTTTGTGTGTGGTAAAGACAGCTCTGAGTTTGGCCTCCAGTCGGTCAGCAGTGCAGTAGGATACCAATAAGGACACTGCTGCGAGTAACGATTATCTTTAATTCCTTGATTTATTACATTAATCTGGTAATTATTTAGGACTGCAATTATCAGAAAATGCTGGAAAAAACGTACAGCAAATACATAGTTCATAACCCAAAGATGTTTGTTACAAAACCACTTTAAACTGAAGAGGAACTAAGCGGAAACCAACTTGGCCATTTCAAGATTAGCTTTACATTAGATTACATACATTGTTTACACGCTGTTGCGAAAGGTAATTGATTAGTTTAACATTGAAGCCAACATGGATAAAGAGTTCTATTAGAATTATTGTGTGACTCTATCCAATGCTGGATCCCAAAGTGTTTTTTCAACCGTTTATCCACAGGAAATCGAAGCATTGACCGAATATTCATTTAACCACTCCACATTTATGGGTCCCACATCACCTCAGTGGGGATTTGCTCTTATTTGTCTGATTGATATGGCGGTAAATGGCACATCTTCGTCTTTTTAGTTACTGTCAAGAACAAAATTGTCAAAGAAAATTGAGAAAATAAGTCAGATGAATCAACAATAATAATAATTGCAGTGCGAAAGTCAATGAAAAGATCCTCGTGTACGGAGAGCTGTTTCTACAATCTGGCACGCTGGCAGGACTCCAGTGCTTTCAGCATCACATCATCTGTACTATCCACCTGGGGAGCAGATAAAACCAACTGCTATATATCTTCACACACACACACACACACACACACACACACAAAAACGCACACTTGATAGGCTGTTGAACTTGGCCTTCTTGTGTGGGATTGAATAAAGAAGACAGCAGGAAGGAAAAGGACAGCAAAGATTCTGGGCCTAAAATTGCTGGAGTATTTTCAAAAGTCTAATGTGCAAATGATAACGGCGGTTCATCCAAACAGTGTGTGTGTGGTCAGGTGTCAACTCACACGCACACACACACACACATGCGCACACCCACACCCACACACACACAACAACCCAGTGATTGGAGCTTTTGGTCTTCATCAGGTCAATCAGTGGGACCGTGAGACCCGGAGGCTTTGAGGCTGGATGTCCTTCTGCAGCCAGACTTCAATGTGGTCGGTTCCAGGAACTAGTGAGCAAATGCAGACCATCAGTTTCAGTGTGTGTGTGTGTGTGTGTGTGCGAGAGGGGGAATTGTAGTATTAGGTGCTGGGAGCAAACTCTGTGTGGGGTACAAAATGAAAATTAGAGGCCTAATTGTCATTT